CTCAGGTTTCAGATTGTGATATCACATCCTTTGAAAATTTTACTACCTACTTCTTGCAACAATTCAGACTTCTTTTCATTGTCTGTGATATCCCAACTTTGCTAAGTCAACAAATTGGGTGATGATGACTTAGGGCATTTTCTTTGTTTAGTTATATAATTGTTTACATACTCTGTTTGCTTTTGTTATATAACAGTGTTAGTGCAGATATTGTATATCTAGAAGGTAGCATTCCCTATTTCATGGTACCTTTTGGGCTTTCTTATATCTCAAAATTAAAACATCATTTTATCACGCTTTAACAATGTAAAGTAGATGTTAATGTAGTATTTCACAATTAACACTGCCACATTTACTACTTCTCTAATACTTCTCTTTTGTTAGTCTACAATTTTATTTTATTTTTTGGTTCGGTATCTCTACTAAAACTACAAGCTGAGTTCAGTAAAAGAAAATTTTTTGATTGGGTTAAGGGAGAAACTTTTTTCAATCATTTTTCTTGTTAGTCATATTTTACCCATATTTGTCTACAAGTAAATACTGTTGATAACTGTTGTAATAATCTGGTTATTATTTAAAAGAAAAGGAGTGAAAGGGAAGACGATATAGGCATGCCATTTATACAGCTTTGCCAAAAAGCTACATTTAACACTGTCCAAGTCTGTTTCCTGCTCATTAATGAGGGAAGGGACTAGACATAGGCAGGTTACTGCCTGCCCAATAAGATCTGAGTGACCTGGGAAATGCTTGCCCATCAGTCACCCCTAGAAACAGGTAATTGGCCAGGATGGCTGTGGCTACTGCAAGCCTCAAAATCTAAATGTATAAACTTCTAGACAAAGGAGCCACTCTCTCTTGGCTCCTGGGCCCTCTTGGGACTCCTGCTGCCGGGGGCTGCTCTCCCCGATGTGCACGTGACTCATGGCCACGCGGGGCTCCACCTGTGGACTGATGGACTTTAATCTGGCCTGAATGCTGAAACACACCCAGCTGCAAGGTGGAATGGAAACTCTAGACCCTAGCCCTCTTTCTGGCTCATCTGAATTCCCAGGTGCCCCTTTCCAGGACTAGCTTAAGGGGCAGAGGACTTTGGAACCCGAGAAATGTAACTTCATACAAAAAAAGCCGCCTTCCACATCCCATCCTCTTGTGGAAGTCTTAGAAAATTCATTTTCTGAAGATATCACCAGATCCCCACTCCCACTCATATCTGGGAAGTCTGGCGCTTTAATTCCTCTGTCATCGCTGTTGCTGATTTCCTTTTGAAGCCTCATCCGGTATAATCTTCATGTCTTTGCCCTTCTTACAAAAAGCTAGGAGCCAGGTTTTTAGGAGATCCAAAGGAACAAACACTACAGGCAGGACTGCAGAGAAACTTCTGTGCAAATACTTGATCAAAATTAAACAAAAGCTCTGAGATTGGACCTTTCCTTCATTTGGTATAAATAAACACTCTTCCTGACCGGCTCTGGAGATGCATAGATTAGTAACATTGGAAGTACTCTTCTCAGACCTTTGTTGTGGGGACACCTGCAGCCTGGTGTCCTGGAAGAGCTTGCTAGTGAAAGTGATGCCCAAGGTGACTATCTCATAGTGTGTGGGCATGTTTTTAAAACATTTGGATTCATTATAACTTTGATACTTATAGTAATGTCTTAACCTAAAATTATTTAGTTATCCACTAAGGCTTTTAAATTGTACACACCCCATCCCCAACATACACATTCCTGTCCCTAAGCATGGATAGCTTATATTCTAACAACATATTGATTTTAATAATGCTATTTAAAATAAAATAAAAGGAAAGCAAATTTTCCATAATTATATTTGTAAAATTTATTCTAAATAAAGAATTTAGTATTGTCCACCTTATAGTTTGCCCTAGTTAAGGTTAACTGAGAATTGACTGTGTTTAAATCTATCAACTAAATAATTTTGCATTCTTGGAGAGAAGTTTGAGGAGTTAGAAGTTAATACATGGCTTATATATACATGTTGAGGAATGAGTTGAAGTTGTAAAACTATACAGTAGTATAGTTTTCTCCTCACAGCTTTAGGCATTTAAATTCTAGTGAAATGGAAATCTCTGTTATCTGCTGTGTAAGTAAAAATGATGTTCAATTTCTAATGTTTGTCTGACAGCTGATTTTGAAATTTGACCTTTGGGATAGATTCTTTCTTACCTTAATTGTTACTGATTTGTACCATAACTGATATATTTTGAGTGTTTTTAAAAAACTTGATTAGGTAAACAAATAAAAATTATTGTTGGGTAATACAAATAGTACAAATTTATAAGCATCTTTTTATATCTGCTTTTGTTAACTATGGTAGGTGAAGGAAATTATTTTCATCAAGGCTACTCTCCAGGAAATCACTGACAGTTATATAGTTTAGTTGATTGTGTTTTTTTTATTTCAACACATAAAATGTGATCTATATATGGCCTATTGATTATGCCCAACCAGAAAGACAGCAGTGCAGAGCAAGTACCTCTGAGTTAATGAGTTTCAAGCATGAGGGCCTATTTTTAACATCAAGCAACATCAGTTACCACTACATGATAGTAGTTATGCTTTTGGTATATATTGTGAAAATTTGATAGACCACTGTGATTCAATATTTTATTGATTTAGACATCACTTGTGGACATTTAAAGAAACTTGTTAATTCTATTTTCTGCTTACAAGAAGGAGATTATATGTCCATTGCCCATATTTTCCTTGTTCTTTGAATGGGTAAAAACTTTACTAACATTTATGAACCTGACATCTTTGGTCATTAACATATCAATTAGCAGCTAAATACAACGGAGGTATTTGAAGGAAGAAGAATTACAATTGTCCAACAGAATACAAACAGCTGTTATTTTGCACTTGCTTTTTTAGCAAATGCCCTTTGAACTTGATTTAACTCTTATGTATAGATAATGATAAAGATATTTTTCAAAGAAAAGATTTAAAATAAACCCTTGGTTATTTCATGCGTTTAAAAGCATTTAGCTCTTTCTATTGTGTTGCTGATGTTTGGTTATATAGAGTCAGGTTGTTGATAATAATTTCAACGTCAGAAGATAGGCCTCAGTTTACCTGAGGGATAGGTATCTGTACTGTCCTCATAAGACAGAGTTAAAATTGTGTTTTGTCTTAATTGCTAGAATTCTCTGACAGTGAGGGAAAAAAGGAATCTCACAAAGACCTTAAGTTAATCAGAGATTAGAAACTTTAATGAAATTCATACTCTTATCTACTTTGAGAGTTTGTCACCTTTGACTTAGTTCTGACTGGGAACCAATCATTCAAAATGATGTATTATTTATGGGTTTTACCATCACAGGCCTTAATACCGTGATCATCATAACAACACAAAATGTGATGCAAGGAGCACAACTGTTTACAAAAGTTGCCTGAACAGTAAATCATCTGGTACTATTCCTCCATTCCCTTCTCCCTGCAGGAGTACCTGCATCCATGTTTAGCTTACCTCTAAATGAGGCTTCCTTCTCATGCCTTCAGGACCCCATGGTCTCCAGACGCTGGGCAGGTGGTTTCCAGCTGTCACCAAAATTTAAAATGCTTGGTGCCGGGTGGTGTGATTGCTACTCCACTAATAAGAATGCTCCTGTTCTTGTACTGTAAGGGAGAAAACAGAGCAACCCTTTAAGACTGGCTTCATTAGAAATTGGGGACTACAAACCAAAAGAGTCAGAAAGGAAGAATTATAGTGAGTTACAATAAGCAAGTTTTGTTTTGTTTTACGAAGCATCTTCTGCCATAGTGATAATAGCCCTTCTAGAGCACCATGTCATTTGTCCTGCAATATTATGTGCCTACGGCGTGCAGGTCATTAGAAGATACAAAGATGGTTTGTCACCTAAGAACTTGTCTGTAAATTATGGCCCCTCTCTTTGACTGATGCAATATTAACATTTTAGATTGGGAATATGACCTGATGTTTGATTAGATGTATAATGAGAATGTTGACATTCATGAAAGGTTAACAAGAGGAGCAGGGTTCTGATATGAACTGTGTCACATCATTGGCTACAGATCAATTGATTGCTCTGTGGTTCTTATGGCAGCTTCCTTACATACCCTGTTGAGGATCACTAGGAACTTTTGAAACATTCTGCTCTGGGGAAGAGCAATCTTTAAGATATTCTGTATAGGTTAAAATCTAGAAAAGATGATATCTGGAGTGTTCTCTTCTGTGTTCAGAGGAGGTTTCAAAATATCAATCACTTAACAGAATAATTAGATGGGCCTTAAAAACTATACTTATGAAGGAAGAGACTGTTGAGGGCATCGCACCAGAAGAAGGAGGGGAATGAAGAGGTTTTTGTTGTACGAAGAGTCAAATAGTATCTGCTCAAAAGAGTTGTAAATTCCAGATTGGGGGGGGGAGGGGAGTTAAAGATAAAGTAATTGCATATTTATCTATAAATTAATGAAAGGAATGAAAAACTGGTTGAGAGTATGTGTGTCTTATTAGCAACAGGAAACTTTTCAGATTCACATTTTAAATTGGGTTTTTAAGTGAATGAGAGAAAAAAATGTTGGTACATAAAGGTGGGAAAACTTCCAGGTATGAAAACAACTTGAGAAAAAGCAAATTTGATTAGTAGAGATGGCAAGCAGGTGTGTTTATAACACTTTAAAAAAGACAAAACACACTTTAAGTTATAATATCTTTTGAAGACCAGTATTGGGTGTTATCACCCCAAACTCAATATAAGTGGCCAGTTCTCCTATCCTTCCCTTTTTCCTATCACCCACATTACTTTGTTAGAGAGCTAGACAAAGAATATCGTAACAGATTTTATTTCTTAAGGCAGGTAGTCTTGACATCATAAAGTTCTCTTTTTTCTGTATTTTAACAATCTAGTAATAAATATCCAGTGAATGCTTGTCATTCGAGAGATAACCAGTAATCATTGTTGAAAGCATGTAATTGTCGTATGCAGCGGTATTAGATGCTTATGGTTTGCTTTCTCTCTGTAGAACACAAAGTGATTATTGTGGGACTGGACAATGCAGGGAAAACTACCATTCTTTATCAATTGTAAGTATGGGTGTTTATTTAAGTAGTTTTCATTATTTTAATTATTAGAACTAACTTTGTATAATTAATAAGGTATTATTCATATGGTTTTGTATTTTCCCAAACACAAAGTTTATGAAAAAGTAAGATAAATTGCTCTATGCTTGTTAAAGCCTTCACAAACTCCTTTTCTGGCCTTGAAAGAATTAGTATTAAACCAGAATAAATAAAGCACATATTATATAGTGCTAGAGTGAGGTGATAAAGTGCATTTCACTTAGTTATGCTCACACTGAGGTTCGTGTAAATAGATTGTTATCTCTAGGAAGTTATTGCTACTCTCCTAAAAGCTCTGGAAATGTTTAACACACGCAGACTTGTTAAATCAAAAGAAATGAAGATCACCCCTGAAAATATTGCTTTAGTAACTTGTAACAGGGAGAAGCTTGAAAGTTTCAGAGAAATACATTAATTCTTTAAGGAAATTTTAAGAGCCCATCAGTCTACTTGTCAAAGTATATCCCATTATCCTATTACTGCCAATGAAATGATCCTTGCTAAGCAATGAAAATGGATCTGTGTCCCAAACATTTTAACAAGTAGTTATAAAACCCAGAGTGCGCCATTGTGTGGCTCTTGTGTCTTCCCACCTCAACTTAAGTATATCAGCTGACAGCTCTCCAGAAATACTTCACTTGATCAGTGCTTAACATATTTTTCAGGTACTTTGCTAAAAAGCTACTAAGTTATAATTGTTTCAGAGTCGAGTATCTACTTGTTTCTTTAAAACATCAAATACAAACATTTCAGAAACCTGTCATATTGTTGAAATAATTTTGTACATAGCTTCAAAAATGTGTATAATGCCCAGGAGAGATTTGCAAGCTTCTTCCGACACAACACTGGCATGTTATAGGCAAATTCATCTTTGTTGAATAAATTAATGTAGCTTAACAAATGATTATGATAATACATGTGATATGAGTACCAGTGTACTAAATATATTTAGAATTAATTTTAACTAAATTTTTCATTTACCCATAGCCTTATCTTTTTAAGACTATAGTTGAGGTTAATAGGCCTGAACTAATTTTTATGGCTGAGCCAAGCCTGTTTTCTCACACAGACAGTCTTCAGAATTATAGATAGCCAACTATTCCATGGATGCTACATTGAAAGTACTGGTGTCACAGTCACCTAGAAACTTGCTCTTCCAGGATGGAGCATTGGTTCTGCTCTACCTAATAACAGGGCATGGTGGTATTAAAATTTTGGCCACAGAAATGCAAACTCACACCACAGACTTCAGAACAAAAAAAACAGTTTTCCTTCAGTAGTGTTCTTTGTCAGGATATTTGTTTGCACAGATGTTCTATAAGGTTCTATTTTTGATACTTGTGATTTACCATCATTGGTGCAAATAAGGAAGATCAATTCCTGTTAAATACAGAGATTAAAAGTTGCTTCAGGTTCTAGAGATTTACAAAAGATTTTTTACGGTGTCTGTCTTTCAACAGCTTAATGAATGAAGTGGTTCATACATCTCCAACCATAGGAAGCAATGTTGAAGAAATAGTTGTGAAGAACACTCATTTCCTTATGTGGGATATTGGTGGTCAAGAGTCACTGCGGTCATCCTGGAACACGTATTACTCAAACACAGAGGTACACTAAAATTACCACTAAAGTAAATTTTAATAAAAACCAAAGAGTAAACCCAGAAAACAGATAGGCTATACATAAGACATACTGACAGTTGCCTTTTAATAAGATTTTTTTGTAAGGAATTTGAGGTTTTCAAGTAAAAGAAAAGGCAGGTAGAAAGAGTAAAGGCAGCTGTTATTAGATGGTGCTCACTGGTGTGCAGGCCCTCCTTTTGCCCTCACCATGACCTGCGTTATCTCCCCTGGGGAACTTGGGATGGGACGATGAATTATATATCATCTTTCCCGAGATCTCAGCATTTTTAGAGGCCCTGGTAAGAGGAGGAATAAAATACTTTAAGCATAATTTAATACGAGATTTTCAAATAACATGAATTGAACATTCAAAATTTAGCTGTGATTATGCTTTAATTTTTTTAAAAAATGGATTTGTGGGCCATACCCCAGACTTCTCTGTCACTTATTTTATTAGTTCAGAGCCAACCTGGGGAAAAAATATAGAATATCTTCTATTTCTGTTTTTATTCTTAGAGGCAGATTTAAAAAATAATAAAATAAACATGAAGTGCTGTTGAGAGAGGCTTATCTTTGAGAATATTAATATATGATTACATCCATAATTTTACTTTACAAAGAGGTACACCCAAACAATTATTTTTTCTAAAATGAAGCCTCTTAAATTGAGTGGGGGTTTTTGTTGGGAGTGGAGGGGATGCAAGGAATTTTGGGTGAATAATTTGCCTTTTTAAATAAAAACATGTATTCCTTTAGATTTATATTGTTATAGCATAAGCATTCAATCTAGTGCATTCAATCTAGTGCAGCGTATGACTGGTCAAACCAATATGGCATATCACAGGTATTCAGCAGTTGTGGTAGCACTTAATTTTTTTTTATTTGCAGGGGAGGATAGGTTGGTAAGCAGATATTATGGTTATAGGTTAGCTTAATTTAATCTATATATTTCTGAGTAAAATAATATTCTGAAACTATGATGAACAGATCAAAATTGATTCTTGCTGATTCATATACATTTGTAGCATTATAAGAGGGTAGTTACTGAAATTGTTGAAAATTGACATACATTATTACTTATACCGTTTGCATGAAGTATTCTTTTAATAAGCTATTTCTACAAAGAACCTTTGGCCTTACTGCAGTACACCTGTATAGCACACAGCATTAGCAAACTTAGGTTCTAGGTAGGGATCTTATTATCTATGTAGTGTTCCCCTGATGGCTTTTCTTGTCATCTTGCTTCTTAAATTCTTTATGTTGCACTGGCCGGCATTGCTCAGTGGTTAGAGTGTCGGCCCAAGCATGAAAGGGTCTTGGGTTTGATTCCATCAAGGGCAAGTACTTCAGTTGCAGGTTTGATCCTGGCCCCAGTCGGCGTGCGTTCAAGGCAACCAGTCGATATGTCTCTCTCACATCAATGTTTCTTTCTCCTTCTCTCTCTCCCTCGTCCTCTCTCCCTCCCCCTCCTCCATCCACTCTCTCAAAAAAAAAAAAAAATCAATGACAAAAATATCCTTGGGTGAGGATTAACAGTAAACAATCAAAAATAATTCTTTATGTTGAGGACTCATCCAAAAGCTGAAATGTGTCCATTACAATACAAGGAGTTACAGTTGACTAATTTCTGACATCTTACTCTTATTAACTTATGGAATTATTTCCAGTCTTTGCCATGTTTCTTATATTTATCTCTTCTGTTTTCTTACATCCCTTTCTAAGCTTTTCTCGGTTTATATTCAGATTACCCTAGTTGTCTCCCTAATTTTAAAGTCATCTGAATAATCTAATTCTACCCTTTCTGTCTTGATTTATTTTGCATCACTTCCTCCACTATAAACCTTAACATCATTTAATCTCATTTCTTAATTGTTTCTTCTGCATAAGATGTTCAATTTAGAATCTCTTCTTCATTATATCTTATTTTTCTTATCAAAGATGCTTTTATTTATTTTATTTGTATTTTTATTTTTTAATCCTCAACCGAGGATATTTTTTCCATTGCTTTTCAGATAAAGTGGAA